TTTTGAGGCTCATCACATAACTGAGTGGCATGAGGGACCAAGGAACTCTTGTCCCCTGTCCAGCTGGTACGGCACATCCTTTTCCTTCTGTGTTTCCTTCTGTGTACCTTGTGATCAGGAGACACTCTGCCCGGGCCTCTGGGACTGCTTGAGCTGCCTTCCCCACTGAGTGTCAGCATGATTCTAGACTTTTCTGTGATGCCGATGTGCCACATGCTTGCACCTAGAGTCTGGTGCAGCTGTTCTCCCTACCAGCCCGTTCCCTGTCACCTTCCCTGCCACTGAGAGGCAATGTGTCAGGGTTCCCAGGGGAGGAAGGGGGCCTCATAGCATGAGCCAGGCATTTGGAGGTCATTTTGGTGGCCATGTTCAGTGGGGCGTGGGTGACAGCGTAAAGAGGAGATTAGGATTTGGTCTGGTCAATCCTCCGTTCGTTCATTCATTCATTCATTCATTCATTCCACATGTGCCAGTACAGAGCTAAGGAGATAAGATACAACAGTAACTAAGACAGTCTTCATTTTGATGGGGGTCACATGGGGGGGGGGAGGTAACAATATACCATATAATTTCAGAAGTTGATGTGTGCTGTGAAGGCTATGAGAGGATGCTGTGGGGGTCAGTGGTGGAGGACGAGGGCTTGGGGGCTGGGAGGCCCCTCTGTGGACCGTGCACCGAGAGCCCGATGTCCCAGCACCATCTGCTCGTGGGGACAGCCGCACGGACAAGTGCCATCTCCTGTGATGTCCAGCCCACAGATGCTTCCCCCCTCTCCCCCCTCTGTTGGTTTAATAAATATAATCACTGAAACATCTGAGTGCAAAACTGTTCAGACTTCACCATTTAGAGTAAATGTGACGTCTTCACTCACCAGTCGTTTCCCGAGCGCCCTCCGAGCCCATGGTGTCCCCCGGAGGGATGGGGAGGAGGTCCTGCCCTCAGGAGCTCCAGTCTGGGGGTGGGTGCAGGGGTAGACACCTCTCAAAGGCAGGAGGGCCCAGGGGATCTTCCCGGGGCCGGAAGAGGCCCATCTGCATTTCAGGTCTGTTGGTACCCGGCGCTGCAAATGTCCACAGTCCGTAGAAATGAGGCGGCAGCAACTGGTTTTATTTTTAAATGTTAAACTGAAGTTTAGAGCCGGAGCAAGGATCTGTTGAACTAAGGCTTTTATCTCATCACGATTAATTATTTTCTTCCTTCTTTCTTATAATGGGTGATTCCTGATAAAACCCAGCATTTTCATCTTATAGTTAAGTGACGCTCCGTTGAGCACTTTATGAGTGCGGATATGCTATTTAATTTTTTATTTTTATTTTTATTTATTTATTTTTAGAACAGAAATTTATTTCTCACAGTTCTGGAGGCTGGAAGTCCATGATCAAGTTGCCAGCCGGTTCGGTTTCTGGCGAGGGCTCTCTTCTCAGCTTGCAGATGGCCTCCTTCTAGGGTCCACACGTGGCCAAGACAGAGGGCTGTCTTGTGTGTCCTCTCACGATGGCACTAATCCTACTGCATCAGGGCTCCGCCCTGATGCCCTCCAATTCACTATTTAAAATGCATATTTCACTAGTGATAAGTAGCCTACTAGGCTGGAAAGAAAACCAAGCTATTTAAAGTGGAAGAAATCTCTCCCTTGATTACTGTGAGTTTCTCCATCCAGACATTGTATCTCTTTGTTTATTTTATTATTTTTCAAATGTTTATTTTTGAGAGAGAGACACAGATAGAGAGAGTAGGGGAGGGGCAGGGAGAGGGAGACACACAATCCAAAGCAGGCTCCAGGCTCTGAGCTGTCAACGCAGAGCCTGATGTGGGGCTCGAGCCTACGAACTGTGATATCATGACCTGAGCTGAAGTTGGATGCTTAACCGACTGAGCCCCCCAGACACCCCTCCATCCAGACATTTTAAATACTTTCTGAATTGTCCTTGGAGGGTGTGTGTGTGTGTGGTAAAGTACACATAAAATTTACCATCTTAGCCATTTTTAAGTGTACAGCCCAGTGGCATGAAATACATCACATTGCTTCTCACTCATCACCTGCAAAGTCTTTCCGTCTTGAGCTCAAGACCTTGGAGTATGTTTGTACAGCTTCCTTTGCTAGTAGGCATGTTTTGTTTAGCCTAGGTACCAGGTATTTTATATGTTGTCTAATTTAATTGTCACCATAATCCTTTAAGGGGACTTTTTTTTAATTAACATTTTTATTTATTTTTTTTTAATTTTTTTTTCAACGTTTATTTATTTTTGGGACAGAGAGAGACAGAGCATGAACGGGGGAGGAGCAGAGAGAGAGGGAGACACAGAATCGGAAACAGGCTCCAGGCTCCGAGCCATCAGCCCAGAGCCCGACGAGGGGCTCGAACTCCAGGACCGCGAGATCGTGACCTGGCTGAAGTCGGACGCTTAACCGACTGCGCCACCCAGGCGCCCCACATTTTTATTTATTTTTGAGAGACAGAGACAGAGCGCCGGCAGGGGAGGGGCAGAGAGAGAGGGAGACACAGAATTGGAAGCAGACTCCAGGCTCTGAGCTGTCAGCACAGAGCCCGATGCGGGGCTCGAACCCACGAACCGCGAGATCATGACCTGAGCCGAAGTCGGACGCTCAACCGACTGAGCCACCCAGGCACCCCTATAAGGGGACATTATACACACTATTTTTATGATGAGAAAAGAGGCTGAGAGGGTTACCCTGCTGAAGGTTGGGATGGGAATTTGTACTCAGCTCCTCCAAAGACATGGCCTTCCCCCCCCGCCCCCCACTTGTTCCATGGTGATTTTCAGCTTGCAGTTTGGATTCTGGCATCTTGCCTCCCCGCAGTCACTGTCTTCAACACAGACAAGAGCACTGTTCACATTTTTCTCAGAATGCTCGGCATGTTTCTCTTGTGCTCAGATTTTCCTAATGGATAAACGTGAGCGCCAACACAACAGGCATCTGCAAAGACGGCTAAAAATTAAAACCATGCTTTCTTTTGGAAGACGATGTGGAACCGTATCCCTAAAATGTGACGACCATGTACCTCTGCTGAGAATAATTCCCCCTCTAAAAAGTCACGCGGTGGTTTTTTTAAGTAACGCGAGGCAGCAAATATCTTCCCCGTTACATGTATCTTTCTGCCCGTTGACGATGGCATCTGTGTCTTTCTTTTGTGACAACACGTGGAAGTATGACATAGGATTTCCTTCTTAGCCTCATCCTTGGCTGGGATGCGTGCGGTGGTAGGTGGTAGAAATGTTGATACTATGGAAGGTCCAGGGAAGATCCTCATGGTGCTGGTACCAGACTTGCTAATGTACAGGTGCCCTCGTTTTTTGGGGGTGGGGGGTCCAAGTCAGTTGCATAAAATCGTGCAAATGTTAGCCATCTTTTTTATTCTTGGAAGAAACAGTCTGTTAGAGAACATGGTTAGGAATTAGCAGTAAAGCATCCTCAGCTCCTTCCCCGTTATGAGGCTGTGGTGCTATATTAAGGCATATCACTCAGATGGTAACATCAAACATATGGTAGAAGAGGGAAAGAAACATGTGCTTTCTCTAGTTTGACATGCAAATAAGAGGGAAAACACTGCAAAGGCAGAAGCTGGCTTCTAATATTAGAGAGCAGGGGAAGGCCACCCAGCACCCCGACCGGGAGCCCCGTGACATCCCCTCCTCACCCCCCCACTACCACCCCTGCTGGCCGGTGCCTCCAGTGACCACAGGCAGCAGAATGATGGGGGGAGGTGGGTGGGGCTCCCGAGATCCTTGTGGTGAGAAACCCTCAGGGAATGGAAGGAGCCCCCTCCTCCTCTGTGTCCACCCCCCATCTCTGCCTCGCCTCCCCTTCTCCCTTTTCTGACACACACGGTAGGGCTTTCCTCATCCACTGACCCGAAGGTCAATGTGAAGGGCTGGGGATTGACAGAGGTCAAGGTCCCAGCTGATTTTTCAGTTTTTCCCATTTGCAGATCCGTAGTTTTCATCCTATGACCCTCCTCAAGTTGACTTTTAATGGCTCTGCGTTGCCATCTGGATAAAGTCCAACCTCCTGGCCTGGCTGTGCTCCATGCTCTAGCCCTCGTTCTTGGCTTCACCCCTGCGCCTCCACCATCCTTCCCCATCCCCACCCCCAGTGCTTTATAATCCAAGTCCTCCGTGCTGTTCTTGACGTGCAGTGCTCTTTGCTCCCCCCCACCCCGGCCCCCATTTTGCAAAGCCTCTTCTCGGCCCGGAGGACACTGTCTGCCTTATTCCCAGCCCAGCCCAGCTCACTTTGCTTGAGTAAAGCCTAGTGGTCCTTCATCTGTCTCATTCATTTCCACCAGGAAGTCTTTTCCAAGCCCCTGCAGCTGCTCAGGCTCCCCCCCCACCCCCGCTTGATCCCACAACCCCAAGTTGGCATGCCACTCACAGCATAGCCTGTCCACTCCAGTCTCCGTGTCCTCTGAGACAACCTAGGGGGTTTGCTCATAGCTCTGTCCTCAGATTCAGTGAATGTCTGCTGAAGGAATAGGCTTACCCTCTCTGGCACTGCCTGTGCAGACCTCCCTGCCCGTGCCTCATTTTCTATCATCAGATCCTCTTTTTTTTTTTTTTTTAATGTTTATTTGCTTTTGAGAGACAGAGCACGGGTGGGAGAGGGGCAGAGAGGGAGACACAGAATCTGAAGCAGGCTCCAGGCTCCGAACTGTCAGCACAGAGTCCGACGCGGGGTTCACACCCACAGACCGTGAGATCATGACCCGAGCCGAAGTCGGACACTCACCCGACTGAGCCCCCCAGGTGCCCCTGTATCATCAGATCCTTAAATGTGGTGGAAGTGTGGAAGGGGGAAGGTGAGACTGTACCTTCTCTCCACTGTGGTGGGGAAAGCCTCTCAGAGACACCTTCTCTGGCCACTGTTGTCTCCATCACTGTCTCTGTCTCCGCCAGTTGCCTCCCAGTGTTCAGTACAACAGGCGGTCTCACCTGTCTCGTTCTCTTCTGGGGTGGGGGCCTCATCCCTCAGTTTTTTCCTGTGACACACAGGTGTTCAGTATCTCGTGCCGAATGTGCACATTAATTCATCTGGTGGCAGTAAAGTACAGGACTCTCAGCGTCAGAAGGAAAAAAACAGCTCTCCCTTTATTTGCCTTACAAAGAGGGAGAAAAAGTTTCTCAAGAAGTAGGATCGAAATCAGAAAGGGCTTTGGGGGTTGGTCTATTCTGCTCACCCCGACTCCCAGGAAACCCCAGGAGAATGTGCTTCTCCATTTTTTCTAGGACACTCTCATGTGAAAACTTGCTTTAAAAGAGATCTAATGTTTATTTACTTTTTAATTAACATTTTGTTTTTCACTGTCCATCTGTTTATTATGTGTTTAGCTACATTGATTTGCATATTATTGCACTCATTACCAGATCCTTTAAGCCCTTAGGTGGTTCTCATTACAGTGCTCTGTGGGAAAGGATTATTATGTAACAATCCAATGACTCGTGGATATATATTCCTTAATTGGAGATTCTGTCTGCATCCCTGGTGTTCACCTGGAGACTTCCCTGCACCTGAAATTTTACATGAAAACTCCCTCGGTGGATGTGCCGGAATCATTGATGATTTCTGATAGCACTAGTCCCTCAAACTCTGTGACTTTAATGAGGGAAAAAAACTGTATTGGATGATAGAAACCGACAGATGTCCTTATTATTATTCCACAGAACAGCTCCTTCCTCTCACCAAGGAGAATCTGTGTTCCTAGACGCAGTAATTTCTGCTCCTAGAAAACTCTTCCCGTTCACTCTGCTTGGGAGTATGTTTTTCCTGATTTGGGATTTTGGTTGCTGTCAGCTTGCCTCCCCATCCGATTCAATTAGGCGAGGCTCTGTGTCAGTTACAGGTTTTGCCAGCAGGGGGCGGTAGAAAGTAAAATGATTTTATATCGGGCACACCTGGGAGCCTCTCCGTTCCCAGGCCCCCTCCCTGTAGAGATGGGCGTTGTGCTTTCTGTGTCACACGTGGCAACCCCACGTGCTAGCACAGCTTTCCACGTGTGAGTGCTTCGTGAAGGTGTGTTGTATCAACGGCATTGAACCTGGCTTGGGGAGCTTATTCTTTGCAAACCTATTGGACAGACCAGCTACAAGAGCTCAGCGGCAGTTGGTACTTTATTTTCTCTGTGGAAACCACGAGGATGTTAGTAATGGACGAACCTAAAGCATTTTTTTGTTGTTGTTGTTGTTAAGTGAGATAAAATCGGGCTATTTGCATCTGTCTGCAATTCGGTAAAAAGAAGATTGAGGGGCGCCTGGGTGGCTCGGTCGGTTAAGCGTCCGACTTCGGCTCAGGTCATGATCTCACGGTCCGTGGGTTCGAGCCCCGCGTCGGGCTCTGTGCTGACAGCTCAGAGCCTGGAGCCTGTTTCAGATTCTGTGTCTCCCTCTCTCTGTGACCCTCCCCCGTTCATGCTCTGTCTCTCTCTTTCTCAAAAATAAATAAACGTTAAAAAAATTAAAAAAAAAAAAAAAGAAGATTGAGCACACTTTTTACACATTCTCAGAGAATATTCCTGACCAAAGCTCTCCTGTGTTGCTCTGTGTTGCTCCTGAGTTTGCTGGGCGTGGCCTAGCTCTGTTTTTACTGCAGTGCTCCACAAATGGGATCTTTTTCGGTGTGGTGACATGAAAAAGATTGGAATTTCTCACTTAACTGTGTATTCTGGGTAAATTCTTTCTTTCAAGTTGATTTAAAAAAATTTTTTTTAATGTTTATTCGTTTTTTGAGGGACAGAGCATGAGTGGGGGAGGGGCAGAGAGAGAGGTTGACACAGAATGCGAAGCAGGCTCCAGGCTCTGAACTGACAGCACAGAGCCTGACGAGTGGCTGGAACTCACAAACCATGAGATCATGACCCGAGCCAAAGTCGAACTCTTAACTGACTGAGCCACCCAGACACCCCTCTTTCAAGTCGATTTTAAAGAATGCTTGCTTTATCAGGGTTGCCTGGCTGGCTCAGTCAGTAGATCATGTGACTCTTGACCTCTGGGTCATGAGTTCAAGCCCCACATTGTGGGTAGAGCTTACTTAAAAATAAAATAAATAAACAGAAGATAAAAAAAATAAAGACTATGCTATCAGTTATCATTGATATCCTTTGGCTTAAAATACAGTTTTCGTAAATTATTTTGACTTAATAATGAGTGAATATTGAAACGATAGAAACAGCTAAATCTATAGCTACAAAGTTGATTCTTTATAGACTGTGAAACTCGTCATGGAAGAGAGCTGTGTTGCGAGCACCTGAAAAAAAGGAAGCAGGAAAAACTTTGAGGCAGCAGTGAGTTTTCAGCAAAATTTTGACCTGGATGAAATTTCACGTGCCGGCAATGCTGTACCTGTCACCGTGTGTTGTAATTATTTATTGACCTATCAATGGACTAGGCTGTGATTTCCTTGAGGCATGGGCCGAGAGTCATTGAGTGCAGCCCTGACATGAGCTGGTGTGTAGTAAGTTTCAGTAGATGATTGTTGAATGAATTAGTGAATATCCTTGGAGGTGACATAGGAATCTCTCTCTCTCTCTCTCTCTCTCTCTCTCTCTCTCTCACACACACACACACACACACACACACACACAATGTCACACTTAAATGGATGGATGTTTGGTTGAGCAGTCATGCCCAAACGCTGTTGATCAGTGGACAGCAGGAACCTGAAAGGAAATTTCTAGGGATTTTCCCCAGGGCTGCCTCAGAACATATTTTTTCCAATAGCATACTTATTAAATTTACATATGGCCAGAGGCTAGATTCAAAAATAATTCTACCAGTAATAGATGACACAATAAATTAAATTTACCCTAATACTGGTCTCTTTTCTTTTCTTTTTTTTTTTTTGCATGTTTTGTATGCTTTTAATTGGATTTTCCACCCACTCTCTTTATTTTAGGGTTTCTAGTTATGATTGGGTCTTGACAATACAGAAGGATATAGAATGCTCTGTAGTCGTTTCCAGTGAGTATAGGGGAGTGTTCTATGAAGAAAATTTCAGAGTTTTTCCTAGTATATTTGAGGTTAAAAAAAAAAGAGTCAAAAGTAGTCTTGGAAGAGTGAGTTACGTAACTTTTCTTTCTTTCTCTTTTTCCCCCCAAATGACTGTAAAAACTAGGGTAACTTATTTATTCTCCTTGGCAAGCAACGCTTTCTTTTCATGTGGTCTGTGCAAGCCAGCCTTCTTTGGGTGTAAAAGTCTCCTGTCCCCCAGGCCTCTCCCCCATTGTCCCTTCCCCCAGAGCTGCCTGAGTAAAACAAACAGGACAGAGTTACCTCTTTGAATGTCTCAACAAAAATAAATGTCTCTTTTTTCCACTCGTGTGAGTCCCAAACATAAATGCAAGCCAGACCCAAGGATTATGCCAAGGGACTAAACCTTTAACACCAAAATTCAATTCCTTTCATGTCTGTGACAGATCAGATGACCCAACATCTCACAACGCCATCCAATTCAATATTTCCTTACCTAAAGCTTTTGCCTCATCACTGGAAACCTCCATGACCTTTCTCCTCAGAAACTGGCTCATCTTCATTCTTCTCCCGGGTTGTCGCTCCTGCCTCAGCATTTGGCTTGCCTTCACCTTTTCCTCAGAGCTCCTGGCGCTTCCCAGCCATCTGGGCTTTGGAAGTTTCCCCGTAGAATCTCAGTAACCTCAGACGTGGAGGCTCTCCGCCGATTCTGAAGGAGCACCAGGCCTTTTGTACTAAATTATATATTTTCCCTACTGGTTGTGCAAGCTCTGATTCCTATCTTCTGTAACTCTGCAGAGAAATCACTTTCTACATTATTTTTTCATAAGCCATTACAAGTTCCTATGAATTTCACGTTAATATTCCAAAAGGCTGTGTTCAGTGGATCTTTTCTTTATCTGTGACGAAAGTGGAAATAGGTGTCAGGTTGCTCACATAGCAGTTTCATATGTTAGGATTTGACTTCTTTTTTTTTTTTTATGTTTAGTTTTGAGAGAGAGAGAGAGAGAGAGAGCGAGTCAGGGAGGGGCAGAGAGAGAGGAGACACAGAATGTGAAGCAGGCGCCAGGCTCCGAGCCCGATGTGTGGCTTAAACTCATGAACTGTGAGATCATGACCTGGGCCGAAGTCAGAGGCCCAACAGACTGAGCCACCCCGGCGCCCAGGATTTGGTTTCTGATATGCAGAAATCTAAGTGGGATTGTTTGAAGGTTAGATAATTTCACAAATGGTTTAAATCCACTTCCTTCTTCTATAGAGCAGACTTTTAGCATCTCATCTTTATCATGTCTCTCAGATATCATCTTCTGTCTTGTTATTTTCACAAGTCTCGGTGGCTGAACACTTCCTTGAAGGGTATGGGGAGCAGTTAACACTTTCCCCACACTTTCTATTGGACAGGAGCAACCATTTACCCCCTACTGTTTTTAGCCAGGATCCATAATAATGACATATTTGTCATTACACTAACCCTATGGTTTTCAACTGGATTTCTAAAGCTAGATATGAACTATACTTCTATTTTTGTTCAAACTTAGGGAACAACTCAGAATAATGCAAACTTCTTCAGTTATTGGACCGTCTGTATCAATTGGGATGCCTTTGATTGTAACCAACAGAAAACAAAGCTGAAATTGACTCAAGCAACCAAGGAGGGAGATTGGTTGGTGTGTTTGACCCTCCAAAGACAGGATGGGTTACATTTGGTTTGATTCAGTAAAACAATACTTGAGATCAAGACCTTGGCTTCTGCCCCCCCTTTTTTTTTTGCTGTGCGGTCCACAGCTTCATTCTAGAGTTTCTTCTTTGCTCACAAGATGGCTGCCAGCAGCTCCTAGAACAGTTGTGTCCTTGCTCCAGGCCTGAGCCAGATGCCTCACACAGTCTTACTGCCAGAGGTAGAGGTGATTTTCCCCAAAGCACAAGCTGTGAGTCAGCAATGTGGACCCAGTGAAAATCAAGAACTTAATGAAGGAAGAGCTTCATGGCCAATGAGAGGCAACCTAGTGCCTGCCACAACCATGTGAAAATAGCCTATGGACAGTTCATCTAAAAATACTCCCTATGTTGTAAATAAGACTAAGGATATGTTACAGTTAATGTGTCCATTTTCATTATGAGGCTACCTGGCTTTATTTGAATTATTTTCATACTGTTTGAAGAATTTCTGTAATTCATCACACATGCTTAGTTTTTTGTTTTTTGTTTTTTTTTAAGTAGTTGAAACGTCATAAATAGCTTCTGTTGAGGATCTTCCTCTAAAATAGAAAATAAATGTAAGAAGAATGACTTACTATTCCTTTCTCTTCTGTTAAGTATTTTTATCCAGAAACTAGGTAAAACCTTGAATCTTTGTATGAAAGGTGATTTCTGAAGTAAAACAGTCTTTCTTTAAATTTTTTTATTTAAAAATAATTTTTTTAATGTTTATTTATTTTTGAGAGACAGAGAGAGCAGAGAGAGAGGGAGACACAGAATCTGAAGCAGGCTCCAGGCTCCGAGCTGTCAGCACAGAGCCCAATGTGGGGCTCGAACTCACAAACGGTGAGATCATGCCCTAAGCCAGAGTCAGACACTTAACTGACTGAGCCACCCAGGCACCCCTGAAGTAAAGCATTCTTGTAATTGATTTTAAAATAGTTTTTTCAAGGATGTTAAGATAGTAATTTCCTGAACTGTCAGTGAGACTTTTTAATATTCTTTCATTTTAATAGTTCATAGTTTCTCCCCAGCTGACTTGTGTAGCTTTCAAGAACCCTCTCTGACCACAATTATAGATAGAGTAGAAAAGTGAAAAAAATCTTGTTATATAACCAATACTGTCATGCTATTACAGAAATAGTCAAAGTTCTCTTTCTCTGGAAAAATTAACTTTTCTCAAAGAAATACGGAGAGATACATCCATGCTTTTGTTTCAAAGGCAATTCCTGTGGTAGAAAGAAGTCTGTTTAGGAATGAGTCATGGGTTGGAATCCAGAATGTGCCACATAAGTAACCCGCGCTGATTGCTAAATCCCTTGAAATGTGTTTCTTTTCTTGTAGCGTAAGGATAATAGGCCCCTCCCCAAGCATTTCAGTTATTTTTTTTTAACTTTCAACGTTTATTATTCATTTTTGAGAGACAGAGACAGAGTGTGAAGGGGAGAGGGGGACACGGAATCAGAGCAGCCTCCAGACTCCGAGTTGTCAGCACAAGGCCTGTTGTGGGGCTCGAACCCATGAACCATGAGATCATGACCTGAGCCAAAGTTGGATGCTTAACTGACTGAGCCACCCAGGCACCCCTCAGTTGTTCTAATAAGACATTGAAATGAGGGGTGATTAACCCAGTGTCCTGCACATAGAAAGCTCTACGTACATGGTAGTGATTAAAAAAAATATGAGACTACCAACATCCAACTGAATTGCAGAAATTATTCTACTGCTTTAAAGCTTTACAAATTCTCTGTCCTTTGTCATGTTGGATTCTTTTTCTTTAGAAACATAATAATTGCCTTCAAAATGTTCTGTATGCCAGGACTTAGTAGAGAAGCTGTCATTGTGAAGTTTATATACACAGTTCCATGTGTGAATGTATACAGAGAGGGGAAGAGGCTGGCTTTCATCTGGGGAAGGTTCTGTCCTGATCCCCGGCAAGAAGAACCCTGGCTCACGGGTCCCTTCCAGCCCCTGTGCCAGCCATGCCCTTCTCCTGGGTGAGGTGTCTGCAGGGAATACAGGCCCAGGGAGATAATTCCCACCCAGTACATGTGCCCTCCGCTCTGCCCCCAGAGACCCTCCCCATTCCATCACCTTGAAGGAATCGGAGAACCCCAAATTCAGACTGGGTAGGAGGTAGAACGTGTTTTACTTACTACCTTGTTGTCTTCATTTATCACTTCATTTCTACAACAACTGTTTATTCATAGAATATAAAGAAATGATATACCGGGACATATTGTCATAAGTAGCTGAGAGTTTATTGGACAGTCATCTCATTTTTCCATCTGTAAATGGAGGGCTGGCTACAACAAACTGGTTCCCAAATTTGACTAATCATCTGAATTGCCAGAGACTTTATTTATTTATTTATTTATTTATTTATTTATTTATTTTAAAAAATTTTTAGCATTTATTTATTTTTGAGGGAGAGAGGGTGAGCTGGGGAGGGGCAGAGAGAGAGGGAGACACAGAATCCGAAGCAGGCTCCAGGTTCTGAGCTGTCAGCACAGAGCCTGACGCGGGGCTCGAACTCACAAACCATGAGATCATGACCTGAGCTGAAGTCAGATGCTTACCCAACTGAGCCACCCAGGCATCCCAGAATTGTCAGAGACTTTAAAAAATATACATGATTCCCAGGTCCCACCCAGGTCCCTGGCAATGGTGTTTTAGTAGAATCTGGTATGAGGTGCAAATGTATGTTGTTGTTTTTTTCTCTGTTACTTGGGGGAGCTTGATGATCAGTTGATCTCTGCCACTGCACTAGACAGACTTTAGGGTTATTCTGTTTATTTATTCTCCACTTCAGAGATTATTTTCCAATATATGTGGAGATCAGGGGCCATGTGCTCATTGGGAGACGCTTTATTTATTTGGTATCTCTTAAGATCTGTGCTGTGCCGAGTTTGAACACACACTAATACAGAGAGGCAGCTGTGAGGTTTACTGCCTTGACTTTCAGTCTGTGTTTTTATTAGGTACCAAGTTTGAAAGACAGTTAAGAAGAAAAAGAACAGATAGTCTCTGAAAGGAAAGAGGCCAAACTGGTAAATGGTCCGAGGCTGTTTGCTGGGAGCCCATGGAAGGTTAGGCGGGTTTCTGAATTACCAGAAATTCCATGAAGTAACTCGAATATTCTCTATTCAAGGTGTTTGTGGTTGTCAAAGATAAAAAAGTCTTTCCAATATGTACAGTGTGTTTTCTGGAGACAACGGTCAATGACATTCCAATTCTGGAGATATAGGAAAACTGAAGAACAAAACCCCAGATAATGACAGATACGTTTTCTTTCTCACAACCCCCCTTTCCTTTAGAGAAAAAAACAAACAAACAAACAAACAAACCAAACAGCGGAAAGAATCATGAACTTGACATTTCACAAGACTCTAGTCTTCCCATCACTGCCTATTAAGAGTTTCTAGTTAGCCCCGATCCCCAAAGAAGTCTAGACATTTACACTGTTGTCAGATTGACGTTTTATACTTGCTCATGATGAAAGAGAAACGTACATATGAACTTTCCACTTGGGAAATTAAACATGGACTGGAGTAAAGTGAATTTCATGTTCAAAGTTACCCCGTCTGCAGGAGAGATAGGGTAGGTCTTCAAGCATGTTTTTTAAAGAGCTTTTTCACCCTGCTCAATTTAAAAATTTCTGCAACACAAAACACTCCATTTCCTTTCTTCAGAGCTGGGTCTTTTGCAAATTGCTTCTTCGTTCCTTTAGCATAAAACCCCCACTGTTGAACTTGGCACCAAAGCCCCTCAGGAGGTTCCCCAGTGTACCTTCATGGAGTGGTCTCCCCTGACCCCTACCCACCCGAGCACTCTTCTCTCCCAGTACAGCACACTACTCTTCTGTGTCTTTGCAAATGCTGTTCCCTGCCTCTGGTGGGCTCTTTTCCTTGTCTTCCTCTACGTGATAAACTTGCTGGCACCCAGAGCTCATGGAAGACGTGGAACCTGGCTGTGTTTCACCGCCTCCCCCACCCCCCCACCCTTGGCTGGCTTCCTGGCAGGACATGGGCCGTGATGTATCATGATGGTTTTAAGCACATCTGTCTTCCCACGCTGTATTGGGCGTTGCTTGGCTTTAGGGACTGTCTCATTAGTCTTTATTCCCCACTGCTTACTTAGCCCCATGTCTGGTTCTTGTAGGTACTCTCTCACTGTTTTATGAAGTCTAGGTCTGTGAGTTTTATGCGTGCTATCTGCAAATAAGGGATGCAGTGAGCTTGGGACAGGACCGTGGTGACAGCAGAAGTCGCACTTCTGCCCTCCCTTCCCCTTCTCCCCGCACACACTTCACCCTGCAGCACAGTGGTGGC